TTTATTTCTTGCACTTACTGTACATCGCCACGACCGTGCTTCCGTTTGGCCAGCATAACCGCCTTATTTAACAAACTCATTTCGATAATCGACGGCTTCACGCGACACGCCTCGCCATCCACCTGCATGGGTATAGTCTTTTTGGTGATGATGCGCGCCGACCGACACTGGCAAATGCAGGTGCCATGCAAGCCGGCCTGCAGCATGGGCAGTTGGTATGTGGTCAGGCCGACGACCTCAATCATGCCGTCATCGATGGCTGGCTTAGATTGGCCGAACGAGTCGTTCCAGGGGTGTGTACCGCCGCCATAGCTAAATGCGAACGAGGAGAAACAAACACAAAAAAAAGAAGAAAATTAACAACAAAGTATAATGTGGGAGTGGAGTTCGTCGTCATGCAATGCGACATTTTGCTAGATCCTTTGGAATATTTCAGATTTCTGCATATCTACATTGTACATGTACACAAATGTGTTTGTAGGTGTGTGTGTGCATAAAATGCCATATCGTGGCAGCACTTGAGGAAGGTGTGCAATTTGTGGCTAAGTGATTGCAATTGTTGCTGCCAGGCAAATGATGCCCGCCCAGGCGTTTGTGCAAATCATGGTGGCGTGACGTTGACAACAAAGTCGCTTTTAAGTTTTACCTTCTGCCTTTAATGCAACGTCTCAGGTTACCTTTATTGGAGTCGAACAATGGGTGTGTGTGTCAACTTACCTGCCAATATTAAGAAACAGCACTGCATGGCAGCCGGCATCTCGCAGCTTGCCCGTGTAGTCGGTGCCGTCGCACTCCATCGTCACCCATTGGGAGAGGTTTCGATACTGCCGCAATATCAGATCCTTGCCACCCATTTGACCGTAGTACATTTTATTGCGTAGGCGCGAATTGAAGCGTTCCGGATGGGCTTCGCGTGCCTCATGAAACTCGAGTGCAATGTGTGCATCCACACCGAACGAGTAATAGTTGTTGATCACATTTAACGGTACGTTGTCTTTGCTGCGGTTGACATTGTCGTCCTCCACCTCGCGATTTGGCGTGACATTTAGACGCCAGCGATCCATCAGCACACACTGAGACATGCCGATTTCACGTAATATTTTGCTGATCGGCTCATCGGTGTAGCCCTGTGCGAGAGCAAATTAGATGTAAAGAGGGCGGCGGCAAAGGGAGAGAGACAAAATATAATACTTACCCCACCCCAACCAAGTGCGCGTGCGAGATCATTGCCAGTACCTAGCGGCAGTACACCAACCGCGGGCGCGGGCGTTATCGGTGGATTGATCATGTCCAGCACCGAAAGTACCCAACCGACGGTGCCATCACCACCGCACGCCAATACGCGTAAATTTGGCGCTTTGCGGAATAATTCCAAGCTATTGGATAATGGGAGTTAGTTGGAGAGAGATTTTGTCTGCGAGTCATTTCTAAAGACGCGTGCGTACTTACCCCATCTTAGGGCCACCTTGCGTCAAATCGAAAACTTGTCGTGGATTGAGCAAATGTTGAAATTTACCCAAAAGCTTAACACCTTGATTGCCGCCCGATTTGGGATTGATGAACACTATCACGGGTATGACATCGGGCGATGGTATGGGCTTCACGATGAAGGCGCGTGGCTCCTTCTTCTCCTCCTTTTGTTTTTGCCGCTTACTCGTGCCCTTCTTTTTACTGGTACCTATTGTGACATTGCTTTTGTTGTTCACTCGTATGGAGGACTTGAAATTTCCCTTGGTGGGCAGTTTGACAATCCAAGAAGGCGGCACGATAATGGGTGCATAGTTGCCTGAAAAAAGTATTAAAGTGTTTGAAAAAAATACCACTATCCAATTTCTTTTTAAAAGTCGTCACTGAACTTAAAAATTTAATAACAATCACAACAAGTGATGTTTTCAAAAAATTTATATAATTTTTTTGAATTTCACATTTTATTTTTATATGCTTTATATTAGTAAAAATAAAATATATCGAGCCATGTGTTATCTAAATTATTCTTGGGCTACAGTTTTTTGTTGCTTGTACCCTAGTCCTACCACAAATTCGTAATTTTGGAAATAACTAACGGCATCGTCCCACCTTGCAAGCAATCTTTATCCTTTCCTACCCCACAAAATTAAGTCATTGCGATTGTCAGCAACTCTAGAAGCTTTCAGGAAAATGTGCCCACTCACTTTGCTATAGATACGATGTGAACACAAAACGCATGCAATCACTTAAAGTGCGGTGGTGAGCACGCCTGCGAAATTCATTGCAAGTGGAGCATGGAGCATTGAATGTGGAGCATGAGATTTCTTATGTATGTATGTATACGTGTGTACGTACATATGTACATATGTATGTTTCCTTACATCAAGCATTCACTACTTGCACTCTTAACGAAAACAAACATTAAAATTTTCCAATCGATTCCTATGGCGTAAGCCAATTTTTAACGAGTGGTTGTCGGGGCGTATGAGCAACATTCGTTCATCTGATTCAGATTACTGTATGTACTTGTACATACATTTAGATATTTTTACATATAGATGTATATCCGTAGCTGCATATAATGTCTAATTGCTGAAATTGAACGGTTGTCAAACGCATTAGTCTAATTGCTGTGCGGAGAGCTATTTATGCAAATGCATTGATATACCAGCTGGTGGGTAGAGGATATGAAATTGAAATCGACGAAGTGGGAAGTAAGAAGTTTGCAATTGCCTGCGTAAATGTGTCACTGAAGAGTCCTATTTCAGGATATTTTCCTTCATTTAGTCTTATTATTTATGTTTGCGGGGATGATTAACATTTTTATATATGAAAGCGTTTGAGAAAGTGTATAAGTATATAATTTTCTGAAAGACGAACATTTTTCGTTATCTTATCACTAGGGCTCGGAATCTCGTGCACTAAAAAATCGAAAATATGCGCTATAAACAAGTAAAACAAAAACAATTTGCTTCAAAATACAAAGTATATTATGTATAAAATTAGTTGGTAATCAAGCAGACAGTTACAATCATGTGCAATAGAAATATTGATATTTGAATAGTGGTTAGTTGAATGGTTGGTTGATTTAAGTGGATTGTCACCGGTCATTTGCCGGGCTTGCCGAGTGTCGTAAGACTCATTCTTTTGAAGGCGGGACACTCGCAGCTGCGACAGAACCTGTTGAAGGGCAATCCCATCCTTTCGACATGTACCCTAACGGGTCAGTACCCCGGGCACACTGCAATAAGTTTGTGGGTGGTATCTTCTTTGCTAATACCTAAGAGAGCTTTGGTTTTAAGTGGGTCCTAAGATATCCAGAACTGCGGGGTAATCCTGTACGATCCTGTACGGTTCCACCTTTGCTTGGTCTTCAAATGATAAATTTCAGTAATTTTTGCGTGGGACACATTTAGTGCGATGCCACACCTTGTTAGTTCGTCCGCTGCCTCGTTTCCGTAAATATCCCTATGTCTCGGGACCCATATTAGGGTAATTTTGTATTAGATAGAGATATGCACCAGCTCTCTCCTACAGTCCTCCAATAATTGAAATCGAACAGAGGTAGAATAGAGTGCCTTAATGGCCGCTTGACTTTCCAACTGGCTATTCAGATGAATATTTGGAAGAAAATTTAAGGTAATTTTTTTTTGTCGAGAGATTTCGCACTAAATTTAAATGGTTGTAAATTTGTATATGTACAGCCCATATGCATTTATTTTAAAATATGCACAATAAAAATGCAAAAACAGGTATTTTTTGCAAAATATGCAAAAATTTTCACGAACAATTGAATGCCATTTTAAAGGAAATTTCATGATTCGTAAAGCTCGGAACACTTTGACGACTGCAACTTCACGACGTAACGACAGCGACATCATTTTGTCGACAAATGTCGCCATGAAGCCAGCTTCTTAAACATTTTGAAGACCTAAGCGACATAGCAAACAGCCGATTTTAAGTTTTTTAAATTTTAATATTTTAATAGGCTTGTCCGATCTTGCATCCTTTAGTGCAAATAAAACAAAGTTATTCCACTATTGTTGCCCAACGTTTCGCTAAACTCATTAGCATCTTCAGGGGCTGGTTGTTTATTTTCACTGTATCAACAATAAGTACAAAAATTACAAATATGCATTAACGTTTGACAAAAATTACATAAGGAACATACATGTATGACGTGCATATGAACATAAAATTTTAAAGTTTGATATTTTGGTATATTTATTTCACAAATTGTGTATTTTTATTTAAATAAATAAGAAAAACATGAACAATCAAGAATATGTGATTAATTTTGCGACAATTTAATTTTGCAGCACTACATCTACTCATTGTCGCCGGCAAAATTAGAAATAGATTTAATTTGGCGACGTCGACAATTGCAGTCCTGCAGCCAAGATGTCGTGCTGTCGTCAAAATAATTGTGTCCGTAAGAAAGTGTGTATTTAAAATTTGACAGATGCTGCTTGTCGCTTGCTGTCGTCAAAGTGTTCCGAGCTTAAAGATAACTTAACAATTTCCTTTTGAAGATGCCCAGTAAAAACATGCATTTGCATGGGATTCCGAGCCCTACTTTTCGCAAATTGGTTTTTACTTTGCATTTTGTGACTTCATGCTAAAATAAGATACGAGTGTGCTTATCACTTACATACATGCATACATACATACATATGTATGAAGTATTTTACGTAAAACGTCCATGGTAAAATTGCGAATATCTCGAATCAAGCTGAAAACTGGTGAAATTATTATCTGGTCATCTTTTACACAGTTTGTTTTTAGAACATAATGAACCATATTTTTGCTATTACCAATCAGAATTCTAAAAAAGCAGATTTTCGGCCCACACTAGTGTTTATTATGCATTTTCTGATGCTCTTTTAATTGGCGAATTTGGTTTTTAACATTTTGATTTAGCCATGATTTTCAATATTTAAAAATAAATATGCTCTTTTCACCAAAACCGATACTTTTTATTTCAGAATAAATGATTGCAATTGCAAATTATGGCTATTTCCTAAAAGCGTAACAATTTCCACAATGCCTTTATTTTTTATTTTCGACTTCAAAAATGCCTTACAGCGCTAACCCGGTTTTGCGTTTCTGTAGTTGACCGCGGCTCGTCGCAGGGCGCTGTAAAGCATTTTTTTTGTTTGGAAAAAAATACAATTCTTGGCTGTACACACAACTTTTTATTAAGTTTCACCTGTTTATAATAAAATTTTGCAATAAATATTTAACCAACTTCTCGATACTTCAAACTTAGTTCAGAACCCGATGACAATGCAATATGACAAGGTGGCACAGGTGTCAAAATATTTAGAAACCGCGTATTTACAGCCCGATTTATTTCATATTTACAACGGACTTATATTACTTAAACGGAAAGATTTTTCGAGTAGGTTTTTTTTTATTAAACATCATATGTTTCTCCTTGTATTGAACATACATATCGTGAAATCATTTTTCATGAAAAGTTAGTTTCAGACCCATTTTTATAGTGATTAAATGTCTCAACGAATTGTGGACTAGGATGGTTACTTTGTAAAAAAGTGCTTAAAAACCAACTCCAACATTTGAAAATTGTGTAAAAAGTGAAAACTATTGCATTTGCTGGGCAAATGCACACAGTCTTTAAAGTTGCTTATATACATTGATATATAGACTATTCGAAAGGTCTCAGTTTCTTCTTTCTTAAGCCTGTGAGAAATTGAACACTAACTCAGTTACTGGCTTCGTACCTTTAAAGGAATGAAGAAGCGATTTTTTAACCCTAAGTCAAGACTTTTGGTTGTTGGTGAAATTTTATATTTCGATACTTTTTTAACTCGACTAGACTTACAAGAAAATTGAAATCGCTGCGCAGGTATTTCTACTTCATTCTACCTTACGGCACTGTGTAATAGCCACCGTTATCGATTAAAATATATATAAGGATAATAAGGAAACAATTGAGGCGATATATATATACATATATATATGTCGTTTAAAATATGTTTAACTCAGCTTTTGCGAAATTTTTGTTTGATTACAAGAATTTATTGTATGAGAATTATAAAAATTGAGCATGAAATTTTTTGCTTTTTATTAAGACTTTCTAAGAGTTATCAATTTTCTTTTGAAAAATTTAGAAAACTTGCTGTTTTTAGTTTAAATAAATTTGGATAAGTATGTATGTATATACTACAAACCTACCTACAATTTCATTATATTTGAAATTGTTTACTTTTTGCAATTCAGTTATGCAATTACTTACCCAACGAGCACTCTTCGCCAATTTTCGCTTGATTAAAGCAAGATTCCTTATTGTGATAGACTTCGTGACACCAAGCGCAGGATAATGCAACTATTTCCTTCGAGCCAAAAAGTTTACCTTGAACAGCCTGTACAAAATAAAGTAAATATTAAGAAAATGTAAAGACAATTAGTTTCGGCATGGCCTCTAAGACTTTATAGATCAGTCTCTGACAATGTAATAAATAGTGAGTGTAGATACAGTATTATCAAGAGAATAATAACCATAGAATTTCTACAACAACAAATCTATACACGCATAAAATTTTGGAATGAGTGCGAAAGTGTTTAAATTTGTGCTTCATAGCTTCATTTATAGCCATTGAATTACCTCAGCTACAACTCATAAGGGATATAGATATTTGCATTAGACCGGGTGGGTCCTTAAATATACGTTTATGACAAAAAATTTCCTTTGGAAGTAAGATTTTAAGCAAAGGGAGTAACAAGAAACTTTTCCTCGCGATTCTGCTAACAAGCAGGAGAAATAAAATATGTTGTATCTTAGCATCTTAAAACGTGCATAAATACTATATAACATATGTATGTATGTAAGTATAGGGGTATGAATGTATGCGCACTGAAGGTTTGTAAATATTTTTGAGTGCTTGGAATGTGACGCGCTTATACCTCTGGCGTATAGAAGGCAAGAAAGATCAATGTCTCAATATAAAATCTGCTTTCGATGAGCTTAAATTGAAGTTTCGGCAGCTAGAAATCTAAGTGTTCATACATATACATGCTGAGGAGAAGTGTTACATACTTAATATGACAGTGTTAACGGTGAATCTGACGAATTCGACGAGTGTAAATTGTGTAAAACTTTTCCTAAAATTACTTTCCTGGGAAATTTCTTGGGAAGGCAGTAAAGAAGCAGCTCTATATCTCCTAACCTCCTAAGCCTTTACGAAGCATTTTATTACCAACTACTCTGACAGTCGTTTAAATCCAAAGGTTCCACATCCAGTGTAGGAGAGTCCTAAACCAGCCAGAATCACAGGTATGTGTATTGTAGTGGAGTGAAATTACGCTTTTTTTTGGAAATATGAAGAAAGTTGACTTTCTAGTCCAGAAATAAGGGCATACGATGAAGCAAACAACATTTTGCACCCCTAATTCTGAGTCAGAAAGGCAACTTTCTACGGATAAGAAAAAGCGATTTCTAATATCACTCCACCCTAATGAACATCGTATTCAAATGAAAGAACTTACGCATATAAATAAGTCCTTATATGATCTGTTCTCCCGAAAGCGGAAAGGCAATGCCCGTTTCATATAAAAAAATAATAATTAAGGAAATCATGGAGATGGTAAGGCCCTCCACAATTCAGCGAAGGCCTTCTGCAAGTACTTTTTAATCCTTCTTTTTTCGACTGGGTAAATATCTATACATTTTTACATACATATGTATGTATATGTATATGTATTTTTTCTCACTCTTCTGCAAACCGCAATCTACTGTCGGTTCCTCATTTCCAATTATTTTGTAAGTTTCATTTCTTGTTTTTGCTGATGCTACTTTCTGTTAACGATAATCGACGACAATAGAATGCTCGGACACCTCAGACGTGCCAATATTTTCAATATTCCAGAAAACGTGAAAATTTCTTGGTAATTCTTGTTGCATGCAACATTTACTATTCAATGTGGTGGTTGGTTGCTGCCACAGACATCGTTACCTGCTCTACACTTAAATTATAATTTAGTATGCTGGCAGTGTGCAATCGATGTTGCTAATGGAGATGTTTATTAATAAATTCCATGAAATCTGGTTAAAGGATAAGACGAGCTTGAAATATGAAAGGATAATGGCAGGGCAGGAAGGGCAGCTTATGAGCTTGAATAATTATATAAATAATTGGAAATGAATTAAATTTGGCTAGAGGTTAGAAAGCGTTTATTGGCATGCACTGCAGGAGTGATTTTGCGGTTTAAGTGGCGATTTTCACAAATTTAGTTTGCCAATTCAATATAATCGCTTACTTAAAAGCTTTCAAGAATTAATTATGTACATATACACTTGATATGATATCGTCACCCAGAGGTGAAGAGGTGCCAAGTCAATTTTTTTAAATTGTTCAGGAGAGTCGAATTATCTGCCATTCTGTGTCAAAAACTAAAAACTGGACTTGACACCCTTTCACCTTTTAGTAGCGTTATATTTCGAACAACATTCGATTTACTCACCTTTCCGCACTGTTTGCATTTGCCCTTTTCCATTTTGCGATGCACCCAGTGATGATGCGTTGTCGATTGTTCCCTGTATTGTCGAACGCCTACGTCTCGATATGTTGGCTTACAAGCTAATTGAGTCTTTTCATTGACGATTGGAATGCAATTCTGATGTGCAATTAATTGGCAGGCCGAGCATTTCATGCGTTGACCACTTTTCTGTTGTTGCATAAGCAAATTAAATTAAAAATGTAAAAAAAAAAAAAAATTAGTAAGTATAAGTAGAAATCCTTGACTGCTGCTAACATCGTGCGACTAAAATCAACTTTTTTTTGGGTTTTCAGGAAAAATTGCATATGGACGTGAAACTATAAATTTTATGTAAATATTAATGCTGCATACTCAGTTTTTCATTTTCTCATCAATTTAATTTCTTATAGAATTTTAAAGTTTCAAAGCATTAAATTTTTCGAAAAATGGCTTAAATACTTATTTATACTCACTCTACGATATTAATATGAATATCAAACGAAAGAGGAGAATATGTAACTATTAAACAAAAATTTTGTTTACTTTTCGCCAGGACAATTATACTACAATAATGTTCCAGTATACATAGGTGGAAATTGTTTTAAAAAATGTGTCTGTTTGTTTCATATAAATAAACATCTCAGTGGATTGTTTGATTTAGATTCAGATCATGCAGAACAAATATAGTGAAATTTTGGAAAGGTGTAAAATCTGTAATGTGAAGACGAAAGTTATTCCATTTTGCAAATGTTCATTAAAATTGAATTTGACTGTAAAACAGATGGCCGCCTCTTCGAAACTGTTTTCGTAATAAAGCTTTCTCAAATATGTTTCGTTCGTGATCTATATTGCAATATTTCATTAAAGTAACAGAATAAAATTTACTCGACTTTTAAAAATATTTTCGAAATAAAGCCTCTTTTGTTGGACTTGTCATCATCATAATGAATTTAATTAAAATTTACTTTTAAACCGGTGGCAATCCGTTTTAAAAATATTTTCGAACCCTTCGAAAGCCTAGTCGTACATATCTATTAACATACATATTGTAATCTTCATTTAACTTAAGGAAAAATTGTGTTTGACTTCAAAACAAGTGGCAACATTCTTCAACATATTTGCAGAATAAAGCTTCCTTAAACATCATTTGTTTTCCACGCACATTGTAATACTTCATTTAACTTATTTATTTAAAACTTATAATTTAAAATTGAATTTAAGTATTTGATGAGGTGGCAACCCTCTTTAGAAAATCTTATAAATATTATAAATGTGAAAGTTTGTATGTTTGGATGTTTGGGAAATCATCACGCGGAAATGATTACACGGATTTGCATGAAATTTCGTACGCAGATAGCTTATGGGCCAGATTGGTTAATAGGCTATTTTTTTAAGAGTTGCCACCTGTTAAAAAAGTTTTATTTATTTAATATGCGGGAACGACTGAATGGATTTGCATGAAAATTTGCACACAGATAGTTTATGACATAGATTGGAAAATAGGCTACTTTTCGTAAGAGTTGCCACCTGTTAAAAAAGTTTCATTAAATTAATATGCGGAAACGACTGAATGGATTTGCATGAAATTTTGCAAGCAGATAGCTTATGACCTACAGTGGAAAATAGGCTAATTTTTTGGAAGAGTTGCCACCTGTTAAAAAAGTTTAATTAAATTAATACGCGGAAACGACTAAACGGATTTGCATGAAATTTTGCACACAGATAGCTTGTGGCCTAGGTTCGAAAGTAGGCTACTTTTTTTAAGAGTTGCCACCTGTTAGAAATGTTTAATTTAATTAATACGCGGAAATGAGTGAACTGATTTGCATGGAAGTTTTCACACAGATAGCTTATGAGCTAGGTTGAAAAATAGGCTCCTTTTTTAAGAGTTACCACCTGCTAAAAAAGTTTAATTAAATTAATACGCGGAAAAGTCTGAACGGATTTGCATGACATTTCGCACAGAGATAGCTTATGACCTATGTTGGAAAATAGGCTACTATTTTAAGAGTTATCACGTATTAGGAAAGTTTAATTAAATTAATACGTGGAAATGACTGAACTGATTTGCATGAAAGTTTGCAAACAGATAGCTTATGACCTAGACTGGAAAATAGGCTACTTTTTTAAGAATTGCCACCTGTTTGAAAATAAAATTTTGCTCAAAGATGGTTTATGACCTGGATTGAAAAAATAGGCTACTTCCTTAACCGGTTTCCCGATCAGAACGAAATTTAGTACACTTACTACGGATTTCGGAAGGATGGTCTTAGACTGAAAGTAAGTCCGATAACTCAAGGCCCTTCCCATACAAATTGGAATTTTCATATTACATACATATCTCTGGAAGTATTTGTGGGAGAGAACTGAAACTTGGTATAGTGATATGCATGTGAAATCAATGTTGGCATTAATCGATTGATGTTTTAATTAGTTAGTTAATTCGATTAAATTCAATCTGATTACAGTTAATCATGATTAATTTTAATCCGACTAAACAGTTAATCGTAACCGCGATTAAAAAATTAATTTTTAATCATTAACTCTTAATTTGATCAAGTAGGTTTGGTGATTAATTAAGTTATGCTGGAATTTCCCTGTGCACACAAAGCAAGTTAATCCGGTATGGCTAAGTCGGGTTTCCTCATCAATCTAAGCAATTTAGTGTGCATTTTCATTAAGGTATACACCAACAAACGTTTTACAAACTAGGTTTGTAAAAGTTCCCAGTTTATGTATTACTAATAACAATAATTATTATTTTTTTATATTACGTGTTTTTATAAGCGTAAAACACAAAATAATTACTATAACTGGTGTTTGGTTTCAAACTCGGACAAACTAGACAAATTAATCAGATTTTATTTTTAATTGGATTAACGATTAATGTTTTAAATTAATTAAACGTAATCGCAGCCAGCGATTAACGATAAAAAAAATGTTATCATTAATCGTACAGTTGATTACGACTAATTCATTTTAATCGTCAAACGCGATTAACATTTTATTCGTTAATTTTTAATCGTTAATCAGATTAACAGTTTGCCAACACTGTGTGAAATCATGTTCATATTCACAGAGAAAAATGGACGTTTTTGGAAAAGAGGCGTAGCACCTCCCATACTGACTGAAAGTTTCATATTGCATATCTCTTCAAATGTTTGGGGTAAAGCACTCAAGCTTGGTATGGAAATACATATGTATGCATGTATGTATGTGAAACTAATACCATACTCATGGAGAAAAATGAGAATTATTGGAAAAGGTGGTGTGGCAACTCCCATGCATGTTGATTTTTCTATGCTGCATCTCTCTGGAGGTGTTTATTGCAGAGGACTGGAACTTGGCACCGAGATGTGTATACAAAATTAATTCCATACTCATAGAGAAGAATTTGCGTTATTTGAAAAGGGGACATGGTTCCTGCCGTACAAATTTACTGTTTTACATATCCCTGGAAGTGTTTGTGGAAGACAGAATAAATTTCATTAAATGGAAAAGGGAGAGCCGGGCTCGGCCTTATAATCTAAAGCTCTCTTGAGGCATTTGCTACAGTAATGAGAAGTGGTATTTTATCTAGGCCAGGTTACTAAATTTGAGTTGGAAATATTAGAACTCGCCGTGGCACCTCCAAGAAGGTCGTATACCTGGAAACATTTTAAGGTAAGCTTAGAGGGATTGATATATTTCGTATGCCTAGCGCGCAGACGAGATTTTATAATTTCATAGTTATAAACGGCCGAAATACCTTAACTCGCTTAAAAAATAACGAGCTATAACGAAATGGGCACAGAAATAAAATCTAACATCATTAAATTATTTTTCCTATTTGTATAAAAGCGCGGGGTGAAACCCGCGGGTATAAGCTAGTATGCTATATATTATTCTAAGCCATAAGCTATCTTTCAGCTAAATTTTATCCAAAGAATGAGAAACAAACATACTCACTCACAAACTTTCACATTTATAATATTAGTGGGATTACTTATTGTATTCATTAGGCGAAACGTAACAAGAGGTATCCGTTGTGTATACTTTATTTCATTGGAAGAAAGTTAAATTAGTTTTTTTTACGTTTTTATATCTAAACCAATTTTTTTTTTATTTTGGCCTTTTAGCAATACTTATTATATACAATCTATACTTTCACGTGAAAAAGAATTTTTCCTGGATAAATTTTACTGTTGCACGGTGAAATGATAAATGACTTAAAAAATTAAATTAAAAAATTCTGAGGTTTTCTTATTTTAAGTGGCTGCCATCAATGGTGGATTGGTGCACTTATACCGGTTATTCAGTCTAATATTCTAAACTTTAGAATAAATGCTTTAAAAGCTGAAGGACATTGCTGCTCTAATGAATTCGATTTTCCTTCTGAATTAAGGGATTTATTTTAAAAACTAACGAAAGAAAGAGAAAATCGGAAAGCTGCTTCTTCGTTGTTCATCTATGCTTTTTATGAATAAGTTTCTAAAAATATTAAACCCACGTACATAGATATGCACATAGTTTCGAAAATTATACGATTAGAGTGTGAGAATAATGATTTTGTGAATATACTCACAAATTATTAGCTATAAAACTAAGTACTAAAGAACTTCCTTGCCGGGATACGTGCGCTCTTGCGTATAAGTTGGCATGCGCGTGTACGATCGTGTGTAGGCTTGCGTTCACGCGTGCTGGCATGCGTATGAGTGCAGCGTAATATTTAATGTGTGTTAAACACGCAATAACTGAATTACATGAAACAATTTTGTAATTGATTTAAATTGCTTTGCGCCGCCTTATTGTGCTGCATAAGCGCGCGTATTCATTCGCATTTTAAATGAGCTGCATTTAATTAAATTTGAAGCTTTTAGTCTGATTAATTCCGTTCGTTGGCAGAGCCGAATAATGTTATTTATGTACATATATATGTATGTATGTATGTATGTATGTATAGTCATAGTTTAAGAGTAATTAGCTGCCACACTTTACTGAAAATACTAGTAATTAACTAAAAAAGAAAGATGTGTGTCAGCGCAAATGAAACTTAAGTTAAAGTCGCCATATGCATAATTATTAAAAAATTAAATTTTTTTTTGTTAACACTTACTATGCACTCCTCATTCAAGCAACATAAATCGCCTGAAACCGATGTGGGCTTCCAAAAGTGTTCACCCTGCACCGCATTCTCAGTCCAGTCGGGCACAATTCGTATGGGTCGCCGTGCATTACTCGCTGACGCTGATCGTCTGCAATGAAAAAGTGAAAAATTATAATAAAAAAAACTATCTATTTATGTACATATGTGGTATGTTATAAAGGGGGAAAATATTCAAAATTCAAATAGTTCGATATACTCTTGCATTCCAACCACAAAGACAGCTGCCACAAATAAATAATCAACTTGCGCACACATTTGACCTTGCATGTTTTGAGGAAATGCAAAAAAAAAAAAAAAAGTTCACCACCTACAGCAACAGATACATACATATTCGCATACATATTTATGTCCATACATATTTAATGAATGCGATTCGAGCTTCAATAATAAAGAAAGTCTGACCTTTTTTTTTATTTTCCATATATACATATCTAAGTATATTGTTTTACGTCGTTGATATTCAAAATAATTCGTGTTGATGTAATAAATATATTCATTTTAAAGCGCCTACATTTTGACAGTTAAGTATTAAAAGTGGTCTAAGAATGCCGTCAAATAAATGGAATTTAAGAAAATCCGTGTTGAAACTGTTTTCTCAATTTATAATATCCACGTTTTTCCCCAGAAATGTAATAACTTATATTTTTTGACCGCCTCCACACGAAAAATGAGTAAAAAAAGTTAGTGAATTTTTGAATTTCGCGCGCCGTAACTTCAAATGTACGCAACGGCCATAGATTAGTATGCGGGGAGTGAAATAACACAAACGGTAATAACACAAATTTGCTTTATTTCATTTCTCGTTGAGCAATAAGACCAACTTTTAAACTTAACATTTTGAGTAATAAAGCAAAATTTTGCACATATGTAGGTAGTCACCCAGTTACATTTGACAAAAAGTAGTACATGAACAAGTTTAAATGGACGGATTTGTATGTATACAATTTTGAAAGTGCCCAGCTTCGCAGCGGTCCACGTTCGCGCTCGCGCTATGTCCAATTTTCTGAGCAGTTATTAAAGACGACTCTTTTCCTATATTTTGTTAGACTTTTCATAAGTAAAAATATTTTGTGAATATTAATTTCTTCATATGAATTATGTCACATTTTGAGTATTTCCAACCTTTGTTGGAAATAAAGCAAAACTCAGATTTTGGTATTATTTCCCATTTAAAAGTGAAATAAAGCAAATTTTGCTTTATTGCCGTTTGTGTTGTAGATTACAGCAATATTTAAGGCTAAATACAAAGAGCAACGAAAATTTATAGACTATGATATCGATAACACTGTATTGAAAATCTCAAGTTATGAAATGACATAAAAACCCCCGAAACACTTAAGCTTAATTTTGAGCCGTAGATAACGAGCCTGTATGCTGTTTTTCTAAATCAAGTCAAAATTTAATGGGGGACAAATTAAAAAAATAAATAAATTTTTTTCAATTGTATTAAAGCTTGTTCCACAAAAAAAAATCAAGCTAGTAACAAAGAAAATCGATGTTAAATAAAAAAATTTTAAATTTAAATTTTTTCCCATGTTAAATTTTGATTTTGTTTTCGATTACAATGCAAAATTAAAATGAAAATATTTTGGGAAAATGACCTGACTTGGAAAAACAGTTTACAGATCCGTAATCTACGACCAAAAATCAAGTTTAAAATACAATAAGTAAATACTTGTAATCAACTCCAGCGCCACCTAGCACAGTAGACACCAGTGTAAACATATCTTATCGATTTAAACTCAAATTGGTTCAGTAGTTTTTGAGTCTATAAACGACATAGCAATCGACACATACGGTCTTTTTATATAGTATGTACGTATGTATAATAGATGTATGTTTGCATGTAAATATGTATTTATGTAAAAAGAGGAATAAGGCGCTTTTTGTGCTTCCTTTTTTTTTTACTTATTTATTCTCTGAGGACAATAACGAATACTCCATCAGCGCCGCCTAGAGGATGACAGTTTGTCGTTTATGACCGCAAAGCGAATATTATGACCGACACAAAGGAAATAACAAACAGAAAGCGCAACGATGGCACCATCGCTGAACGCATGGTAAAACATGTGCCAATTTATGGGAGAATACGCAAATGGGGCAGCTGGATGGACAGTTGGACAACCATTGGACAAGCGGATAAGCCGTCAGCCATTATCATCAGGTGCCTTTTAGCTGACTACTCGTTGACAGACAAACGTACCTGCGTGTACATATGGACGTTGTAGTGTCAGAATGAATGTACAGACATACATATGTACATATGTATGGAATACAAAGTGCAAGAAATACAGTGTTGACAGTGCAACCTGTATGTAGCCTTGTGATTATCTTCAGTTTTGCATTGATACTGGTATTGCTACGATTTGTGTTGTTTTTTTTTTTGTTGTTACTGCCAGTTACTGCCAGCGAAATCAACACTGTGCATTGTTAATGTCATCCTGCAATAACCCGATCGGTGTCGGGAAACGCACTAGTGCCGAACTGGTTCTGTATTAGAGAATTTAGAACCATGATTAGTGCGCGTTAATTCTCTTTTGCATGCAAGCAACTGGCGAATTGAACATTGCGATGCCCTAGCAAGTGTCAATAGCCCCCCACTACATCCCCTTTTCGCTAGTTCCGAACTAGTCCTAAATTATATAGTTCCGAAACTGTTCTAAAATTGACAGACGAAAAATGTATTATGATTTTTTTAATCTTCTTGGGTTTTCCATGTGTTCGATTTCAAATTATTTTCAGAGGAGTGTGTTTTCAATCTGAAATTAAATTTCTTTGAATGATTTGTAAGAATTGTACGTTTCCATGCCATCGCCTGTAGCTGAATTTGCGGAGGTGCTTGCAGATGGTCCCAAAATGTTAAATTGTTAACACAAATTTTTGTTTTGTATAAATGAAAAAGCATCTGCGAAGTGCAGAATGAAAGCGTATTTTAACGCAAAAGCCGCCAAACACATTTATATATAAAAGTAAACAAGCACCGCGCTGCATCCGTTATTCTATAGTTCTAAATTCGTCACCATAGATATAGATTTCTAATGAAAAAGTGAAATAAAATAGTTTTTCAAAAGTACCACATTTCGCTGATTTTGAACTGGTGTTGATCTAGTTACTGGTTCGTTTTTGGCTATAAAGATCTAGTACGGAACTAGAAATTTAATTCACTAGTTCGCCGTTTCCCTGCGTCTGTGTCTGTTCCCAATAAACTTTTGGGTTGAATGTCAAGTGGAAATGCAATAAATATTTCAACCGCCACACTCTGAAAAAAGGAGCCTATTTTTGGTACATATGCAAAATAGTCCACTCGAGAAAAGCTTGGATATTAATTTGGATTTAAACTTTATTCGACTTTTCATCAAACCTTTAAAAAAATCTTGGAAAAAAATGTTTTACATTCACTTGAGAATCAAAAATGTCGCAAAGGTTGCAAAAACAAAATTGGAAAAGAGTTTACTTTATTGCACAAATATCACTAATACTAAAGCAATAACATAGTTTGACTACAATAACGCTTATTTATTTAAGTTTAGTGTGTTCTTTTTCGTCACAGTTCTCAGCAAAATCTTTTCTGTTTTTCGTAAGCACTTACTATTTGTATCGATGAAGTAATGCATTACAATTCGCCTCAAGACACAGCTTTTCACTTTCTCGTTTACTCACTGCATTACAGGTAATGCAGTGTGAAAACACTTTTACATTCTCTCGCTTACCTCCAATGACATGCCCAGATTAAAGTAATGTGTTTTGTAAACAAGAAGGTATGTGTTGAATCTCGAAAAGCGCTTCCCAATCGGGTTTCACCAGTGAACAATTTTGTCTGGCGGCGAATTGTAATGCGTTACTCCATCGATACAAAAAGTAAGCGCTTACCAAAGAATCAAAGTTTTTGCTGGATTTGGTTAAGAATCTGTGCTTGTGCGTCTGTATCTGTGTCTAACATGTTGAAAGCATTTCTCCACGACATTTCCATACATTTGACAGCTTTTCCATTCATGTTGAGCGCAATTGATGGCTTCAAAGCATCGCACCGCTGTTTTTATTTTTTCATCCCAGTTTCTACATACCTTTTTTCGTGCGTTTTTCTATAATATACTGCTGCATCCTGTTAGTGTTGCTTTATCGCATCGTTTTTTTTTTGTGTTAGGAATTTCAAAGCAGCATCAATCCTGTGTTCATTTATGCCAGTTTGAGAGTGGAAAAATGCAATGGGAAAATTGCGTTACGTGTGTGCGCTCGTTAAAAGACATGAGTATAAATATACACTCACGCAGGTAACTTATACGTATCCTGCAGTGACAGCTTATGTGTATGTACTTTTAATCTAGGTTACTGTATTTGTTTTCTAGCTCAAATAGTTCGCCTGTGATTTGAGCAACTAGTGTTTTTAACCAAATGGCAGTTTGTCAATTGACATACTATTTATTTACTTTTTTTTATCAATTAATTGTTGATAAGCATCACCAGTTAAAACAAATGGCAAAAAAAATGGAAAGCGTAGAATGCGAGCGTGGCATTCGAGAAGAGTTTGTTCGTTTTTAACTGTAAAATTTTATCGCCAAGCTAGAAGGAATGATCGCAAGCGTCTATAGTTTTTATTAATTCAACATTTGGGATGCCTTATAAGACTTAACTCAAGAGTTCTTTAATGTGGTGACTAAATGGTCAGCTAAATCTTTCTCCACGCGCATCCCACCAAGGGGGCAGCGGTTGGGAGGAGGTACCGTTCAACTTCTACATGGATGGGTCGTAATTTTAGGCTCCCAGATCACTGCCGTGTTTTTCAGGCGGAGGTTGCTGCTATTAAAGAAGCAGTGGATTTGCTGCTACAGTGTGCGATTAGGGAAAGGAGGTAAACATATACTCAAAAAGCCGGGCGGCAAAGAGACCTTCAGCTCCCTTCTAGTACGCTCGAAGCTTGTGAGGCAAATCACAAATCCTCTTCGGTCGGAATATTATCTTGTCAAACTTGTTGAAGTGCCGGGCCATAGTGATATCGCAGGAAAGTGTGTGGCTGATGAACTGGCACCCCCGAACCAGTATGACTAAAAAAAGAGAGGGTGCGCAGTGACTTCTTGCGGACTTCTCTTGAAAAGGTGGGCCCTGCGTCAACTCGGCGAACGATAAGCCAGTGCATGCGTCACTGCTAGGTCGCTCTAGCCGAGTGTGGACCGCGGCGGTCTAGGTATCTCATTAGGCTTGGGAAACCACATCTTTCAACACTGGTGGGTGTACTGACAGGTCACTGCCCGAATGGGGTTCACACAGTG